AATCTGAAACCTTATGATTACAGAGCTGTTCTTTTCACCTATTCTTAGTATAAACAGAGGTTCCATTCCGTACAAGAAGTTTCAGGCGTGTACACCCCTCTGTCTTTATACCGATTAACTAAAAATGGCTTTTCGGGCCTGAAAACTTCCTGGTGCTTGCGAGAAACAGGCCCTAGGTGTCCTGTGGACAGTCACTTTCTAAAGAAAATTGTTTTATTTTCATATGTTGCCTTGTAAATTGCTCATTTGAGCAGGCCCTATTAGACAGCCACTTTTCTTTCCCCTAAAAGCCTGACTGAAAGCCATCTTGTTTTGTGCAACTCTGAGAGTAGATTGGTAAAGATGATGGGGAAAATGACTAATTCTTTCTCCAGGATATTTTATAACTTCCAATAAAAATGTCAAGTTGTAATTTTTACTTGGTAGCCCTATGGCCCTGGACGATATGTCTTTGACTTTGGTGTTGAGCAACATGGGGAGTACACCATCAAAGAGAAGGTATTTTTGGATGTAATTTAATCAATATCAAACAGGATGTAGACAATTAGCCTGCATAGCTGGCAGTTTGGGTGGGAGAAATTTATTCTTTACAGACTTTACAGTCAAGACAAGAAAGCATTCCTACCTATAACAAAGTAAAGAATTTATTAATGGGAATTTGATTTCATTCTTTGCTTCAATATTCCATTGTAGAAATGAATGATTCAACATTCAAACTGCATTTCAATTCATAAGTCATGTGTTGAGTCGAATAGTGTCTGGCCTCACCTGACAGGAGCAATAATAATAATAATTTTATATACTGCTTGTTTGTAGAGAATTGTTACAAGAGATGAGGTGCAAATTACAGAGGTTCCAGTGTGGACATGCCAACCAGATTTACAGCCCCTTGGTTCGTAGGGGTGAACTAAAATATAGTAGATTACAAAGAGACAATGTTTTTGATCAACACTTTAACCAACATTAATTTAGGTTCTGTTGAACAGAAACACTCCATTACAACACAATGTTAGTTTTGTGTCATATTTGTTTAATCATTCCAGTGCAAGGGAGTTTAAATGACTTGTAAATGACTTCCATTACTCCAGACCAGTCTTAGGAAGGCTTAGTCCTGGTAAATAATTGTGAAATATAAAGGATTTTTATTAAAGATGTAAACCTACAGGGCAATCAATTTTGCATGCACTTTACTGATTTTAGTGTACTATTTTTTTGACTACATTGGACTACTGTAATGTTTTATGGCCTCTATAAACAAATTGGGCCCAAAGTGCACAGTACATTTATTACATACACTCAAGTGCAGTCAAATTTAAAACATCAGTTACAGTAGCTATCAGTCCATGGCATGCCTTTCATAAATCATGGTTCTGAGCCAGTTAGCATGTAAAAATTGATGGTGAATGGATGTGAAATAACCAGAAAATGCCTGCGGGATGCCTTTTATAAACCATAGTTCTGAACCAATTAGCAACAAAACTTTAATGTACAGAAAATGCCTACAGAGTGACAGTGCTAAAATTTGATAAATGATATGTAAATCGTGGACAAAAATTCCATTTAGCAACACATTTAGAATGTTTCAAGTCCATAAATTCTTAGTTAATTCATAGACCAATTACTGACCAAACTGTAACATCACTGCTATTTTTATCTAGCACATGCGATGAGTGACTATTTGAAAACTAGGACTTAGGCTTCATTGAAGTTATATGTAAACAATAGCCTCCATTTGGTACAACATCTGCTCACATATTTGTCCACGGACATCATCTGTTCTGAGCAGAAGTGAACAGTTTTCTGAAAGCATAACTCAAGGAAACTGTGAGCTTTGAGGAACAGATAACTTCTAAGGACAAATATCCAAGCACATTTTTAGAGTCAAATGGAGGGCTATTGTGTTTATTATCCTTCAACTATTTTATAAAACACATGCAGTTTTGAAAATTGTTGAATAACACTCAGATATTTCCCAGTTTTAGCTGGGGCATATTCAGTCATGATGCATTTAAACCAATAATATTGTGCATGAGCAAAAGCATTTGATGGATTGTAATTAATGTTATTAATAAAAATTTGTAAAAAAATTACTATAAATTATTATTTGTGAGAAATCCTATATCTTATTCTGCGATTTGCTGCAAATGAAACCACTGCCTTAGTACAGAAAAAGAGAGCTGCATATTCAAATGGCAAACTGTAAACAACCACAATAATAAATTACATATAAAACTGTGGTGAATCTTCTCAGAGTGCTAAAAAAATTCCTGTGTAGATCCAGAAAATATTCATATCCCCCACCAGAAGAGTTATTGAAATTCTAAGGGGTAGGGGGGTCTTTAAACCAAAATTTCAATGGAAAGTATGAACTGAAACTGGAATTTTCAGATACAGACCTGGGGGGAGGGGTCAAACCAAAATACCCTCCATGGCAGGGCTATGAATATTTCCTGGAACAACACTTTTAATATTTGATGTGAACCTTGATAACAAAATTTTGAACAACTTCAAGCTATTTCTCTTACTAGGAGCTTGTATATTCTCTCTATAACAAAACAATTTGTAATAATTATAATACAACTGAGCAGTACTTACTAAAATAATGATATTATTTATAATCCCACCCTGAATGTAAGTAATAGTAGCATATATAGAACTATTTATACATTCATTTAATATATTACAAACGTGTTTCAATATGTAGCACACTGTAGTTTCACAGTCTAATCAGTTATAATCATAATAAATTAAATGATTCTCCTGTAAAATTTATTCTTGTTTAGAACTAGCCATTGCATGACAAGTGAGCATGTAAAGAGCATTCATTTGCTTACATGGAGGATGTTGTGGTTCAGTACTACCCTAAGTACAATTTGTTATTTTCCTTTGCTTCATACACATTGTTATTTATATTTCCATACTCCAGGACAAAGCAAAAAACAAATTGTACCAAGGGTAATATTGATCGACTAGAGGGGTGTTCTGTTTTTGCAAAGTTTTACTGACCATAGCATAATTAATCTGTTTGTGGCTAATGGACACACGTGGGGAATGAACAGCCAGGCCAGAAGAAGTTTATATTGGAACTTCTTGTTTAGCATGCCACTACTTGAACTGGGCCACTTGGAAAAAAGTTAGGTCAAATGAATTGGCGCTAAAGAAACTTGCTTATACAGTTCTGTTTGTCATAAATGGAAGGCATAAAGCTGAGCTCCGAAACGCGACAGAGTTTCTGTTGCCTTTATTTTTAGCAAAAACTTCAAGCTTCATGCATGACTGGTCACACCACTCAATTTTGAGCCAAAAATATATGCATCAGGTTTGGCACATAAGGAGAACGCCGTTGTTTACCGCTCCAAACCTAACCTGCCAAACCAAACTGATTTAAACGCAGCTCTTCTGCCGTACTTAAATTACCAGTTAAGTTTGGCGCATGAATAAAGCAGCATTTGAAACAGAGGTTAACCAATCAGAACGTTACTTGAGAACAAATGATAGCAATCTTTTTCTCAAATAAACCAATAACATTGAAGAATACGAATAATAGATCTTTAGTTAACAAAATTGAAAACCCAACAAAGTGCAAAGTATTGAAAGCCTTTCAGGAAACTTTGCCATTTGTTGATTGGTTAATTGCGATCCTAAAATTTTGTACGCTTCTCAATGGTTTCAGCTTAGTTGTTGCTAGATGAGTTTTGAAGCTAAATTTTTCAAGCGAGATTTATAATAATGACACTTCACCATCAAGGACTGAATCTTCAAGAGTGTATATCATGCAGAGGAGTTGATAGTGTTTATGTTTTCATGTCAAACAGACCATTACTTGATGTCAGGAGAAGCTACCATACATTATTCTCAGTTTGCGATTTGATTGGTTAGTTTTCTTCTTGGTGGCCTACTTCAAGTAGTTGCACTGTAAAATATTAGAGATAGCATCGTAATAAAAGTCACTACCATTAAGCAAGTGACTGGAGTAGGTCCCTATCAACAGGACTCCTGAAGCAGAAAGTATTTCGTACTGGCTCCAAGGGAGTCTTATTTTCAAGAAAGTCTCGGTAATGCATACACAACCTATGTTACTTTACTTTTCCTAAAGAACCTTTTCCTTGCAAATCGTAGAATATAAAATACCCAGACCCAACTAATCAGATACAAACCAGCTCCACCCAACTTGACAAAAAGTTTTGGCTTAGGAGATGACAGTGCTTGATAACAAAGCAATGATCCTGGTCCAAGACGCCACCCAATGAACATTGACATGAAAATGGCATCATTCAGTTTTGCCACAAGTGTTTGATACTGTCCAGTTTCTCGCATGAACCATCGGATTTGTAAGAATGGATTAGAGATCTCAGTCCCCAGTATCACTGCAACAAGTTCAGGACCTGAATTGCCGTCAAAGAGAATAAAAACTAAAGAACAGACGGAGACCATGTGGTGTAACAGCATATCGATCCCTTCTGTGCCCATGTAGAAGCACCACAGAAAGTCAAACATGAAGTATCCGAGAGTGAAAGTGGCTATGAAAGTGTGGAAAGGACTGTTCACATCGCCCATCGCAACCAGTGGCCAGGGGCCAGTGATAAACGCAGACCAATAACACAGCAATGATGTTAACGATCCATGAAATATTGTCAATAATCGGCAGTTCCATTCATAACTTCGATGGGGATTGATGGTACATAATAGAAAATAGAAGCTTGTCCAGATGAAGAACATTGACACACAAGGTATTGCCAGGGCAGTGAAGCTCATTATGTTTCTTAACCCAAAGAGCTTGCTAGGATCAAAATCAAACAATTTACATGTTTGTAACCACACTCTTTTCCATTAACTAAAGACACATGTAGAATATTATTTGGCTTTGGTATTATGAGCGGCATTAACAGATATTTGTGGCAGCCTATCACACAGATCAGTACATGTTGTTGGCAGCCTTGAGTATGGTGGCACTTAACTGACTCCCCACACCCACTGTTTTCCGATAACGATGTCGGAAACAGAACTCGCTGTATTCTTCGACGCCAGTCATTGTGCTAATTGATTCCTATTGTAACACAACACCGCGATCGAGCAATACCCTCCACCTGGAGTCACCCGTTGAAGAATCATCTTTATAGCAAGGAACGTTTGAACAGAAATGAACAAAACTGAATTTAGCGCGTGGTTTATCGCCGAATTTTGTTTGGCATGCATACATGATAGGTCTCTAACTATACAGTTTAGATTTAACCAATATATCGAATTTTTCGAACTACATACATGTGCTTGATTGGTACCTAAGTGTGCATAAGATGCGAACGTTTCCACTTTCGTTTGATTAATACAACATCGTACACGGTGAAGAACGTTCAAACGCTTCTCAAAGTCGGTCTGAATTTGGCACTTCACCTACACAATTTGATAAACAACACAACATCTTCGAGTTTCGCACCAGGTTGAGCGAGTGATCTACCACAGAAAGATAAAAACAATGTACCTTGTAAAGCATCAGACTTGGCCATCTGTTATCCCTTCTGTAAATGTATTCAGTTATTTTTTCCTTCCTTTAATTCTGCCCGCCTCACGATCGAGCCCAGATTTGATCACGTGAAAGACCGGAAGTGATTTTACAGAAAGGGATGGCGCGAAAATTGGCAAGGAAGATTATTATGCAGCGCAGAGAAAAGATTCTGACACTGATAAAACAGAGACCAAAAGGTATGTCCCTTGCACAGTTTATTCTACCGATGCCCGTCTTCAATAAGCTTACTTACATTACATTCAGGTCTCCAAAATGTAGCCCTTCTTTCAGTTGCAAGGAACAAAGATCTGTTCTGGGACATTTTAAGTATGTTAGTGCGATGCAATGCAACACATACTCATTGTTTATGAGGTCGTCTGATGATTGAGCAGACTTGGCAATGAAAGAAAACTTGAAGCTTGTAGCTTTCGAGAAGGGAGTTTAACTTTTCTCATATACACTGGCCAAATGTTACTTTCATTAATGTATATGACCATATATTGATGGTTACAAGTGTCTTGGGCTTAGATTTTGGACCAGACTGTTCCGTTACTGTTTGATTCAGCTGTTGTCTGGGTGCCTCTAGCTGGCCTCGGTTTTTGTACTGTCTCTCCCCTCTTCTGATAATGCCTTCCCGCCTCCCTCTGGGGGAGTTTCTCCCTTTCCCTCTCCTGACTGATCGTCTGACGCGTCCTTAGCTTTCTCTTCCATCGTTACAGCATCAGAATCAGTTTGTACTTCTTCCACCTTCTGATCATCAGAGGTGGCGGCGGATTCCATCACAGCCACCACCTCTTGCTCATTGCTGTCCTCCTTGGCAGCTGCACTTTCGCTCTCCGTCACCTCGTCCCGAGTGACATTCTCGTCTTGAGGTACCTCTTGCGTTGTGCCATCTTCCAGAGAGTCACCTTCCTGTGTCGCGTTGCTGCCACCTCCTCCAGTCTCCACTTCCTGTTTACTGCTTCCTTCAAATTCCTCTCTCTCAGTGTTACTCACCTGAGCTGCAACTTCTCCTTTGGAAGCACCGTCTTCCTGAGTGCGCTCTCGACCTACCAGAGCCGCAGCACCTACCTCATTGTCCTCCTTATGTTCACTACTCTCTTCTGCTCCATCTTTCTGATCAACACCATCTACCTCAGTAACTTCTTCAGCACCCCTATCTGCCTCAGCTTCCTTCTCCTGAGCACCACTATCTGCGTCAGACACCTCCTGTGCATCACTGTCTGCCTCAGCCACCTTTTCCTGTGCACCACTTTCTGCCTCAGCTACCTTCTCCGACCTACTACCGTTTGTCTCAGCTATTTCTTGTTTAGCATAACTATCTGCCTCAGCTACCCCCTGTTCACCACTGTCTGTGTCAGCCACCTCTTCCTGTGCACCACAGTCTGCATCAGCCACCTCTTCCTGTGCGTCACTATCTGCCTCAGTTACCTTCTCCTGTGCAACATTGTCTGCCTCAGCTACCTCTTCCTGTGCACCACTATCTGCCTCAGCTACTTTCTCCTGTGCAACATTGTCTGCCTCAGCCACCTCTTCCTGTGAACCACTATCTGCCTCAGCTGCCTTCTCCTGTGCAACATTGTCTGCCTCAGCCACCTCTTCTTGTGCACCGCTATCTGCCTCAGCTACCTTGTCCTGTACAACATTGTCTGCCTCAGCTCCCTCTTCCTGTGCACCACTATCTGCCTCAGCTACATTCTCCTGTGCAAAATTGTCTGCGTCAGGTACTTCTTCCCGTGCACCACTATCTGCCTCAGCTACATTCTCCTGTGCAACATTGTCTGCCTCAGCTAACTGTTCCAGTGCACTACTATCTGCCTCAGCTACTTTCTCCTTTGCAACATTGTCTGCCTCCGCCACCTCTTCCCGTGCACCACTATCTGCCTCAGCTACCTTCTCCTGTGCAACATTGTCTGCCTCAGCTACCTCTTCCTGTACACCACTATCTTCCTCAGCTACCTTCTCCTGTGCAATATTGTCTGCCTCAGCCACATCTTCCTGTGCACCACTATCTGCCTCCGCTACATTCTCCGAACCACCACCATCTGCCTCAGCCACCTCCTCCTTAGCACTACTATTTGCCTCAGCCTCCTCCTCCTGAGTACCACTAATTGCCCCAGCTACCTCCTCTTTAGCACTAATGTCAGCACCAGCTTCCTCCATCTGAGGATCACCATCTGCCTCTACCACTTCATCCTTAGCACCACTATCTGACTCCACAACCCCCTTCTCCTTAGCACCAACATCTGCTTCAGCTCCCTCCTCCTGTGTAGTACCATCTGTTTCAGCTACGCCTTCCTGCACACCACCATCTGCTTCAGCTCCCTCCTCTTGTGTACTACCATCTGTCCCAGCTACGCCCTCCTGCACACCAACATCTGCCTCAGCTCCCTGCTCCTGTGTAGTATCATCTGTCTCAGCTACACTCTCCTGCACACCACCGTCTGCTTCAGCTACCTCCTCCTTAGCACTAATGCCTCCATCAGATGACTCCTCTTCTATTCCACCCATTTCCTTAACTTCCTTCTCTTGGGTGCCACTATCTGTCTGAGCAAGCTCTACTGAGGCTGCTCCCTCCTCTTGAGCCACTTGTTCTTTGGTAGCACTGTCCTCCCGGGAGACTCCATCGCTGGCAGAACCCTCATCCTGACCTTGCTCTCCTTGGTCAGCATCCTCTTGAGAGACAATCTCTTCCTGAGCCTCTTTTTCTTGAGTGATACCTTCCTTCTGTTCAACAATTTCTTGGGCTACACTATCTTCCTGACTTACCGCTTCTTTTGCTGCTCCATCTTCTTTTGTGATCTCTTGTAGGAAAGCAATCTCTTGCAGGGCTATTTCTTCTTGGGTGGAGCTTATTTCCTGATTTACTGCATCTTGGGCAATACTCTCATCCTGAACAACCTCGTGGCCATCACTTACAACTGGGATAACTTCCTGTTCTACGGCTGCCTCTTTTCGCATAGCGACATCTTCGAGAGATGCTTTCCTTTCAGTGGTGTTCTTCCCCTCCCTAGATGAATCTTCTGGAACACTTACTTCACTCTCACCCTGGTGTCGTTCTTGATCCTCCTCCTTGTTCTGGACGCCAGATTTAGCTTGGTCTTCCTCCTTGCTACACTCCTCATCAGTTTCAGCCATGTATACCTCGTCTCTAACAATCAGTGGAGGAATCGATTCATTCTCACCTGGGACTGCGGTTTTGGCCCCATCAACTAGGACTTCTGAAATGTAGGACCATTGTTAGCTAGAGAAATCAATTTACCTAAGTGTGTTGCAGTACACTGAAATTTGTAGTGTTACTGTGCAGCTATCCAGCTATGATAACCAGAATCATTTACACCACAAGTCCAATTCAGTCAAATACAAAGCATCCTAGCTTGGATTATTGGGGGAGTGCACTAAGTGTACACTCCATCCACAGTTGAAATAGAGTTTGTGGCAGCTTGTATAGCCCTGCCATTCCAGCCCTTCCCACTAATTCATGACTTCAAAATTTAATTTGGTAACATGTGCAACACATAGTAAGCTGTAGATCTTGTTCACACTTTTTGCTCAGCAAGAAGAGGAAGGAGGCTTAGAGAATCCTTTCATGTTCTTTTTATTCTGCAAAGCATGGTTCTTATCAACACTGACAGTGACTTTTATAGAGCTCTTGATTTTCAGTGTCAGTAATTTCATAGTCAAATAATAAAATTGGATTAGAAGTGTTCTCTGTATATAAGCAATGATTTTATTTGCACAATCAAAATTCGTATTATTCCCAAAACTTTGACAACAAAGAGTAATTCCAGCAATCACTTGAAATTTATTAATCAAATAATAAATTATTACTAAAAGGATTAAATCTCCCAAGTTCAAAGTAATGTCATTTAAAATGCGTGTTGCATCATTAAAAACACAAGCCTGTAACACATTTGCAATTTTCAAAAACTTTCCATGATACTTTATTTAATTGCAAAATGTCCATCATATTTTTAATGTAAAACCATCATTTTTTAAACTCCTTTGTACAGACATAACACACTGTAGTCTATTACAACATTCTTCTGAACTAGAGAATAACTACTAAAACTCATAAAGAACATTCCAACAGTACAGTTAGCATTATGCTTATGTGATATTACTGACACAAGTACTATCGTGTGGTTTTGGATAATAAATAATGTACATTAACTTTATTTATAAGAAACAACCTTAAACTCCACTCTTAAACTATCATTATAGCAGTATAACAATTTCTCACCAATCCTAAATAATTATTGTCATGTTTACACCTTTCTGAAAAAAAAGTTGCCCATAGTAGTAAGGGTGTTAAATTATGGAAATTAATTTCTTTTGGGGTTCAAAGCAATAAAATCCAAGCAATCTCGTTATGAGGGTTTCCACTCTTTCTCCTTTAAGAACAGAAGAGGTTACATTCTTGTCTGGAACTGTGGTTAAAATTATCTGAGTTAATTAATGCTTGTTTCAAAATGTTTTCATCCACACAACAGGGATGTAGCTACAAAAACCCTAAGCAGGCCTGTTAACAAGTTCAGAAAGATTTTCTGGCCTGTGCACCTACAACCTTGCACCAAGTCTGTTTCCTAAACATGAGATTTCATTTTTTCCTGCCCATAAACTACGCATCTATAATCCTGGTTACAATCATTTTTGAGATCAATCTTTTCACAATTTGGAGTTCTACCTTCTCCTAAAAGTAATACAACGGTACAGACTATTAGGCTGTGTGATCCCCAAGCACACACAAAAAGAAATTGAGATTTAAAATATGTCCAACCTTTTTAATATTGATGATGCACAGTCCATCAAAACAACAGCTTTTCTAATTAGCTGTGTATAATGTCTTCAACTTAATGAGAAACTAACAATAATTTGCACCTATAAAAAAATTACCATTATTAAATAATGAAAATATTCTTTTTGTGGGTGTAGATTATTTAGGAGTCATAAGATGGCCATCCAAATCTCAATTACGCTGTAGGATACCTCTCTGATGGTGTTGGTCTTGTATGAAAGCCAGTTACTTTAAATTATTAAACACAACCCACTAAAATTAAAATTCTACATGACAAAAACATCTCTTACACTTGGTACAGTGAAAGTTGTAAAATGTGAAGCTCTAATCAACACATGCTACATTATTATTGCATACAATCACATTATTCATGAGACATAAATTAAATTTCCTTAGAACAGTTTTAAGTTGAGTGTCGAAAGTAATATAATCAGGTAACCTTGGCTTTGGTTTAACTATGGTTTTAGATTGGCTGAGTAATCTAATTGGTGAGTAATTGGTTTTGTTTTGGTTTTAAAACACTCAATTGAAAATAGCTCTATTCAACAATAAATTATAGCACCTCCCTAATTTAGTGCTTCATGTACATTTACAACTATGATCAAAGTGACTATGTTACAAGATGAACACGCCACAAGAATGTGATTTGTAGTTACCTTTGAGTGTGCACTGGAGTTATGTATAAATACCGAAATGGTCTGCTAAAGAATCTGGTTAAAAAATACGGACTTAAAGCTAATTGGCAATAACTTATTCTTAAATGCCTAGGCACAAACAGTTTCTATGAAAAATTAAGTTAATATCCAGTGGACAGACCAAAACAAGAAATATTATTCTATATACATTATACCCTGGACTTTTATATCTTCAAATTAATATGTTTGCCACAAACCTCTACAACAACTTTTACTTTGAGTCTGGAAGTAACTTTTACATAAAATTCATGCTACAGAAATAGCAACATTGTGGTACAACTCGAATATTACGAATCACACAATCACTTGCAATGTTAAGTTAAAGCTGCAATAAAGCATAATAAAGCATTAACAATTATAGATACAATGCACCTCCACCGTAGTTTATTAATAACATAATGATTAAAGTTAATCTTCTGATGGTTTAGAATCATCAGCATCTTCTGTTACTGATGGCTCGACATCATCGTTACCCGTATCTCCATCTCCCTTGGATACTTCCTGTTTCTCGTCACCCTCAATTTCTCCCTGTTTCTCTTCACCCTCAATCTCTCCCAGTTTCTCTTCACCCTCAATTTCTCCCTGTTTTTCAGTATCCTCAGTTTCTTCCTGTCTTTTGTCATCAGGTTTTTCCTCTGATGGTACCTGTTCATCATCACCTTGAGGTAAAGACTCTGAGCTTTTCAAGGTCTTTACCTCTTCCCTTGCTTTGTGACCCCGGAAACTAGCCTGAATCTTAACTACAGCACTCTGCAAATCTGGATCATTCATATCTAGATCTATTTGCTCTTCCTCACCTCCTACCTCCCCCCCAACTGCCTCATCGGCTTCCTTGCCTGGTTCATCTTCACCCTCATCTTTTTCAGTGGCTTCTGTTGTCTCTCCAGGAGCCTCTTCAGCTTGAACATCTTCAGTTTCTCCCTTATCGACTGCATCTGCTACCTCTGCACTTCCAGTGGTGATGGCATCATCAGGTAGCCCATCTTGCTCCACAAGCTCCCCCTTTTCAGTTTCTGATTCTTGAGTGACAGCTTCTGCTTCTACTGCTGCGGCTGGTTTGTCAGGTGGTACTTCTGCAGCTTGGCCCTCACTGGCAATCTCTGGCTTCTCAGGTTCCTCAGCTACTTCAGCATCTGGAGTTTCCTCAGCATGTTGAGGTTCTTCAGCCGCATCAACACTTTCCGATACCTGTTCCTTGCTTTGTGAAACCTTTATCTCCTTAACTTGTTCTCTAGCCTTGTGACCACGGAAACTAGCCTGAATTCTGACAGCTGCAGTTTCTTCATCTTTGTGTTTCTTGACGTCCTCCCTGGCCTTGTGCCCACGGAAGCTTGCTTGGATTTTGGTTGCAGCTTTTTGTACTTCAGGATCATTTGGATCGATGTCAACTTCTTCTCCTTTCTGCAGTCTTTCCATTTGGTCACCCTTTCTTGCATCATCTTTGCCGGTTTCTGCAAATTTGCAAATTAAGTAGTTACAGAGGACATCAACATGTTTTACAAAAGAGAGATTCTCATTTGAGGGCTGGGGATTAATAAATGCCCACAAATTAAATTGTGTTATATTTTCTAAAAAAAAGGATTTACAGAACAGCTGACTGTTTTTGTCCAATTCATATTGAATTTAAACCATTTTTCACAAAGCATAAAATTATATTTGTCCTAAAATTTTAAATATAAGAATTGAAAGCTTTTGTGGTAGATAAACTTGATAATAATCAATCAACTAAATAACCTTCACACGCTAAATATTACCCGTTTCCTTTCACCTTATAGAAAAGTAAACTTCAATTTCATAATGTCCACGTAATAAGTAGACAGCTGTGTATTCGAAATATTGTCAGATTTTTTTTTCACATTAAGCTTAAAAGCTTAGATGACAGTGAGCTGGAATTTTCACAATAAACTAGATTTAAGCTTACTGACTCCCGTAAAATAAGGACATCACCTAAGCAATAGAATTGCACCGAAAACACGAAGCGTCTATACTCGTTTGACAAGAACAGTTTTAAAAGGGAATTTACAACTTTCAAGTTAAGATTAAACCTCATAAGCTTATATCTTATATTGTAAGTTTATCGAAGTAAGCAATGTGCAATTAGAACCGACCGAAAAATGCACTTTAATTCAGCTGAAAACTTTCCTTTTTAGCAAGCTTTCTTTCTGTTTAACAGACTATTTACATAGACATGTAAACACCGTCGTTCGTTGTTACTAAAAGCAAAAAGCATACCCTCTCGGATTAGAAGTTGGTTTCTGAAATACTGTGCAGCAAAATTGATGATGTCCTCAGGCTGTTCTCGCAATACCTCCCGCGCCAACCCTTCCAATAAATTCTGAAAACCGGGCGGAACTCGTAGTTTCATGGGAGCGTATTGCACCGCCATGTTGAGGTTTCAATCCTTCGCTGGAACGGACCAAAACGAGCCAAGATAGGATCTAAAACAGGAGAATCTAATTTTCCTTGTCACTCGTCTCTATGACGACAGCAATAATTAACCGCTAATTACAGAAATTGCCGAGTCAGAACTGGGACCTAGTGTGTAAGTTAGTTCCCAGGAATGTTTGTTTTCGGCTCAGCTATTCTAAATTTTCCATAAAATATGCAAATTTTTAGCATTTTAACGACGGTCTTGAAGATGCAAAATAGTTAAAACGATAAAAGAGCGACAACTTTCCAAATCTCTTTCTCNTTATAAATAGTCCAATAACTAAATGCTTCAGTTAAGGGACATATTTGAACATAACCGAGCGCTGGGTTTGTCTCATGGCTCCCCCCCCCCCCCCCCATCCCACCTTATGTTTGAAAAGAAAGAAAAGAACTTTTAAATATGATCCAATCAGGACCAGGTTGTTTGAAAGTCAGTTTACGCTAACCCAGGATTACACATTAAAAGAAGTATTAATTTTTCTTGAATGAAAATGTTTTTCGCTGCTTATGTTTTGTGAAGTTTAAGATTATTCAAACTCAAAACAGAAGAACAAACAAATATAAACTGAAAAACTTACCGAAAAGTTACAAAACTGAAATCAAAATTATCGCTAATCCTGGGTTAACTTAATTGGGCTTTGAACAACCCAGTCCAGTACAAGTGAGTTTATTAAACAATATTTAAATAGAAAAATATTTAATATCTGAACATCAAGGTATGAATATCTGAATATTCGGATAGATTATTTGTTTTATGTGTTGACTACTTTTTTCCCAAAAAACTTTCAGCGTTCAGGCCATTTGTATCTCAGGAATATGTTTGATAGAGTAGATAGGGAAATGTTGAGGAGAAGTTGGGATGGATTTCACATAGTCTGTAACCATTAGATCTATTTGTTGACTACAGCCAAAACTTGGTTTATAGAAAATTTACTGCCATCAGAAGAGAATAATATTATTGCAAAAAATTTAATGTCTAAATATATTTCTCATATGATTCTCATTTTTATGATTTGTTGAGTGTTCAAACCACAGTGTGGCTAGAAAGGAAAAATTACTTCAGGAGAGATTTCAACAAGTTTATAAGCCTTACAAAGAATAGGGGATTCAAGGCACAAATTCAATGCCACTTTCCTTAACATAAAATCTTAGATGTTTTTTGCTTAGCTGGTACGTCCTACAGACTGAATAAATCTGATTCATTCCATTTTGACCCTTATTCTTGTCAAATTCAAACCGATAATTCACAAGTTTCTGCCAAGCCTGACACAAGTGTTCGCGATTCATACTCTTGTCACTGGATCCAAAGATTGCCTGTTTAGTCGCAATCACTACTACACGATACTGTTGTGTATAATTTCTTATAGCATCCACAATTTTTTGCTGTTTGTGTTCTTGATGACTTTGACTCCCTCCACCACATCTATCAAGCCAGTAAAATGCACTCAGACTGTCAATCATAAAGACACCCACTTCAGGTTTAGCAGCTAACAGATTTTCTAGTGATAAGACAGTCGCCAGCAATTGAATGCTGCTGTTACAATGTACAATGAACAGGCGACCAAGGCAAGACTTGATAAAGTCTTCATAATCACTATACTTCTCAGGATAATGAGCAGAATCACTCCCAGGAATGTTCTCCACAGTGTTGCTTCTATTATTTTCTAGAAATGCTCCAGTTTGAGTGTCTTTAATTGAATTTAGAATCCTATGTTCCATTATTGTCACCAGTCGCAGTAGCTGAAAATGGTAATCTGTGTCCACATACACAACTCCAACAGACCTGCCATTCAACTTTAGATCCTTCCACGATTTTGGAAGAATGCAGTTAGCGATCAGATGAAGAAGCATCTCAGTCTTGCCGCTTCCTTCTTGGCCAGAGAACTCCACTACATTTCCTGGCTGGATTCCCTCTGGTATATCCCCAAAGAGATTTGTATCCAGTCCATCTAAAGCATGTTTGCCACCTAGCCGCACAAACAGCTAAAAGGGTGAATGTAAAATAATTAACAAATATTGGACATGGTTGAGCAAAATATTATGATTTTTTAGTGCTGAATAGATCCATTATTTGCCAAAGCTGAAGGCTGAGTTAAGTACACTGACAAATCATGATATTTTGCAACAATCAAGTTTAATAATTGTTTTATCATTCGATCACCCAGTTTGTTTTTACATATAATTAAATCCCTCACTGACAGCTCAGGGAAGAGATCTGCCATTTTTCACCCGAAAGCATGGTTTCAATTGCGCACGAGCAGAGATATTTTGCAACAATTGGGAGGGTGTTTCTACCTCACGGGCGTAGATTGAGGGTGACTTCCTCTCGGGTTCCTAAACGAAGAAACACTATGTCAACTAAGTATGACTTAAAATTTTAAGTCTTGTAACTATTTTATGAGGAAAAAGAACTACATAAGTTTGCACTCACTGGTAGTTGAACCCGGGCCACCGTGCCCTTTCTTACCACTGTACCACCGTGCTGCTAGCTGCCGAATTCTTCAAAATTTAAACTACATATAATGAACAGTAATATAAATTAATATAGAGCTACCCTAACATACAAATGAAAGCTAACCACAGGCAAAATGGAGTGACGCTAACCGCAAGCAAAATGGAGTGACACTAACTGCAAGCAAACCTAACCGTGCTAACTGCAAGCACGCAAGGTAAACATGTACAGTGGTTTATTACCACGTCTACCTTGTATAAGCAACATCCAGGCGTCCAAACCCCATACTCCGCCCGGGCGTTATATTTTTCCCAATTGGGACAAAACACATTTAGATGGTACAAGGCATGAATGATTGTTCTGTATCATTCACTCATTGTTAATTTTGAGGATTGACAAAAATCAGTTGATTTTTGACAGAGAAGCATAAAATAATAGAACTCCTTTTAAATACAATTTGAACAGACATACTATTATAAATTTCAAATGAGGTTAAATAACAAAGATCTTGTATAGATATTAAGCAAAACAGAGGTCCACTAGGACAGATAAAAGCTCTATTCATCTTCGATTATGTAAAAACCTGATAAATATCCTAAAATAATTGAGGAATATGTTTCTGTCTGTTACACATACCCTTTTAACAAATATATTGGTTAGAAAATAAACGTTACCTGTGCAGCAGACTCAGCCGCCATGTTGGCCGGGCGAAATGATATAAGTCTGGACTTTACCGGAAACAGCAAAGAAACCGGAAATGATCTCAGAGAAATGTATGATCCAAAGGCCTTCTGGGAATACGTACATCAAAGATGGCGACCAAACCGGCAGTTCAGATATTCTCCTTATTTCTTGCACTTTTGTATGTTGGTAAGATATTTTTTAACGCATAAATATTCATATATCGTATGAGACTCACGTTATTTATCTCATATGATTTCTATATCATTATTTATTGCAGCAGGATTGTCAAATAGCTGGGTAAATTGGGCATACTTTTTCACTAATGAAACGGAGCAAAATTTGTGTTTTAGCTTAGGATTTTCGAATTTTTTGGTATATCTGCTATAATGCTTTACACTTAATGATAAAAGTATGGTGTTTTCCATAATTTGAAGTCTCTTTTTTGTTTTGATCTGTTTTATATGCACAAGGTTAAAGTTTGCGTTATAACTGCATATAGTTTCTGCTGACATGACTCAATAAATGTGGATGTTAAGTTAATTTTTGCATTGTGTTTTGCAGCAACTGGAGATAAGGTCGCCCAGAAAATTTATGAGGACTTAAGAGAGATACGTCCGTGTGTGATACTGACTAATGCAACACATCAGATTGGATGTACTTGTAAGTGACTTTGAGTCCGTCTATATCTCAGCCTTCTGAGCGAATCAATCATGTTATTGAACAATAAATAGGTCTGTCAAAGAAGTTTGTTTGAGCTTAGTTTCTAAACATGAGTAGATCGAAGGCTCACACCGTTATCAGGGCCAAGGGGTGTCTGGACTTTTCACTCTATACTTTTTCTATTCTATTATATTTTAGAAAATAGCCCAAAGAAAATATGCCCACTGATTGGTTTAAAATGGTGTTTCTTTATCTCGATAGAAACTCAAAACTAGCACGAACTGTTGGCATAACGATGGTGCAAGCAAAGAGAATTGGCATTTTGATGATCAGAGCATTTCTGGTTCTCCCAAACTTCTACCCCCTGTTTCTATTAAGCAATTATTAGGCTATGAGCTCGAGATTTCTATCGCGTGATAGTTGATGAGGGCATAGCCCGAGGTAACTATCATGCATAGAAATTGAGAGTGAATAATCCTAACCCTAACCCTAACCCTAATAAATTGTTTTAGTATAAATCTACTAGTCGTTCAAAACTTTATCTAAATACTCTTCACAGACACCTTGAAAACGCAAAGAAGTGGCCATCATTCTGTTAATGACTGCACACTGCTATGCTACTCACTATCTATCACAGAATAGATAGTGAGTAGTGTAGCCAATTAGAGAATGGCATTCGTGATAGAACACTAATATATTTATACTAAAAAAACAATTAGATTATGAGCTCGATATTTCTATTGCATGATAGTTGACGGATGCATAGAAATCGAGAGTGAATAATCTAGTCATTGTTTTAGTATAAATCTACCAGTCGTTCAAAACTTTGTCTAAATCCTCTTCACAGACACTTCGAAAACACCAAGGAGCAGTTGTCATTTTGTTAACAAGCGCACACTGCTATGCTACTCACTATCTATCACAGAATAGATAGTGAGTGGCATAGCCAATCAGAGAATGGCATTCATGATAGAATGCTAGTAGATTTATACTAAAACTCGATAAAGACACAGTGTATGCTTTCTTACATATTAATTTGTAATTTTCTTTGAAATTTCATCTGGTTTCTGTCACTTTTGGAATTTATCCCACTTCCTACATTCACATCCCTCACTCTCTATAGACCCCTTCTGCACCTGCCCCTCCCTCTCCCCTCCCATGGCCCTTGCATTCTTGTCTCTCATGCAGGGGAAGAACTGGGTTGTGAAGAGAGATTTCTGTTAATTCCCACAAGTAGACCTGTCCTTATAATTGTGTCTGTTTTTATTTCCACAGCTAGTATGAATGGCCATGTTGGAGTACTTCACTTCATTGAAAATATAAGTGATGTGGAATGGATAATTCAGGAAGGGAAACATCACCCATACATTGCTTTGTTCAGATCAGACCAGTTTGATCTGTAAGTATTAGTTAATTAGGGTTTTTCCAGACTTGTGTCCACATCTTATTCTGGCAGGCTAGTGTTTTACGTGCAAAACAAAGTTACAACACTGGTGTTTATCAGTTCTATAGCAAAGTTCTCAAAATTAATTGGTTATTAGCAGGTTCAATTTCAGTGCTAATTGGAAAGTTTATACAGTTGAACCTCTCTACAACCGCCATGTGTGGACAGAGGAAAGTGGCCGTTGTAAAGAGGTGGCCATTGTGGGTAGATAGGGGTGTAATATAATACTTGTTTGTTTTTGGGGTGCAACATTTCTAATTTTTAAAAAAATGCTTATTGTAGCATATAAGTATGTAACACAATCAGAGTATATCAATGAAACTGAAACTAAACAGAAAGAGCAGACCAATGATGCATGGTACAGAATGATCAAGTTTTGTAACCTTTCACCATACAAAATATTGGTTTTGGTATACATCGTTTGTCAGACGTTGATTAAGTGGCTGTTGTCATGAGGTTATTATGGCAGTTGGGACGCAATGCAGTGGCTGTTGCCATTGTGGAGTGGTGGCCATATATAGAGAGGTTAAAATAAGAGTGAATGATGGACTGTCCACCGGAACAAAGAAAGTGGCTGTTGTAGAGAGGTGGCCGTTGGTGGGGGTTCGACTGTATGTAGTCGTTATGTGTACAGGTGGTCTGTTTATACCTTTCATTTGAGTAATTACACAATACAAATCATTTAAATGTGTTCACACATCCTGTACTCATGTGCATGCACAGTTATGCTATTCTGATGCATTTTCTTGTGCATGTCAACTGACCATGCCTTGATGTTCATCTTTTTTTAGTAAGATGCTTAATCCGCTGATAGAAAATAAAAAGATTAGTGGAGCTCTGGTCATAGCTGTTCCATCAGGAAAACACCGATACACTCCTGAAGGTATTTAATGCTAAATAGGCCTTTGTGTTGGCCTGCCCTGGTCAGTGTTCTTGTCTTGTGTTCTAGTACCAGACACTTGACTGTCACAGAGCCTTTCTCCATTTCATTTATATTTTATAAATTTTGCAACTAATAAGAGAATTTCTGGTGGGGAAGAATGCATGCACAATATTTGAAATTTGTGCTATCAAAGTGCATTTGCCTTGCTCTGGAGTTGTATGACAAATGTAGTTGTTTAAAAGCCCAATTCTGACATTGATTAGTATTTCTTATTTTGCACTTGTCCTGAGAGTGGTGTTACTTGTAGGATATAAGATTATTAATAGTAGTACTTTAATCTGTTATTCTTGCAGTGTATTCTCCTGACTATGCATGCCCTAATGATAATTTTGGTAAGTTATATTAATATCAACTGCATGAAGATTGTTAGCAAGTTATAAGAGGGAAAAGAATTATGAAAAATGTGTCTGAGTGTGGACCAGTTGATGTGTTTGGTCACTGAGGGACAATGCAATAGTGACTGCAAGAAGAGCTTCAAAGTCGTTGTTCAATCTTTATTCTCATCCACCTGTCTTCTTGAAAAGTAGATTTCTTCTTTCATGGAATTTGATGGTCTCACTATATGTTGTTATTGTATTTCAGGGGTTTACAGTAACAATGAAGTATATAAAGACTGTAAAGAGCTAAAATGGAATGACGGTGTAAGTCAAGAACATTCTTAATACCTTTTATTAGTTTTTTTTAGTGATTCTTTATTCATGTGCTCACTGCTGCAGGGGTTTCATTAACGTTTTCAGCAGAAGGGCAACTGGTTTTCACAGGCAGGCAAGACTAAATCAACCAAACCTCTAATGAAGAAAAACTTTCCTCCAGATGGTCAAACCAGGTTGGCAAAATTGTCCTCACAACTTGTCAATTTGCCTGGTGCCCAGCCCTTAATGAAACCTCTACACTGATGTGCTTTTTGTTTGCTTTCATTCACTTCTGCCAATATTGTACTTGGCTTTGGTTCTAAATATTTTGAAGATTGCTCAAGTGTTATATAAATCAAGAGCATGATGCAGTGGTGAAGTGCAAGTTAGAAACTCACAAATTACCAGTACATGACAAAAGAGTTTTGACATTTTTTCCATAATGTTTTTATTGATTTTGTAAATTTGCTTACTACAGTTAATTGTATTGAGAATTTTCCAGTATTTGTTGGTCTTATTGGTCCCCTNGCCTAATCAGAAATTCAAGTGCACTAAGCTTGCAAAGATTCCAATCCAAAATTTTTTATGTAAACAATATGACTATCCACTGTGCGCTGCACAGCTGAAGGACTTTATGTATGCTGCTAAAGACACTCCGACCTGTATCAGAAAGACAAATATGCCCAACCCTATTGGCAGTAAGTTTTGCTTTAAAGGAGCTCAGTCATGCTATTTTCATTTATTTTGGCCACATACAAAATTACTGAAATAGACCACAAAGGAGCAAGGATGTTTAAGGATGGAGAAAATTAACACAGATTGCAAATGATGAATTTGAAAAATTTAGTCTTAACTTTCTACGATACACAAACCATGATATAGCTCCTTTGAAGAGATCCTGTGGTACTATTCGATGATTCGAAACACTAGCTCTTGTTCATTACAAGTTTTATATACTGATACAATAATAACTACATGTACTTCAAGACTGTGTGTTTACAAATTCTCCCATTTTGTGAGTGACCCATTAAATGATACATAGAGGCCATATGGTTGGTGTATATCTTAACCCCTCTAGGTGGTGTGCTAGTCCACTGTTAAGTTACCCCCTGCGCTTTGCCAGGTTGCCTTCCCTATCAGGTTGTCGGTACCTTGTACCTGGGAGGAGAGACTACACCTGTAAGTTATTGTCAGAGTAAAGTCGCTTGCCCTGGAACACAACGCAGTGAGTCCAGCCAGTGGTCAAACTTGATCTTATGATCTGAGATCCAGTGTGATAACCATCAAGCCACTACTCTTTGCAGTAAGAGGTTTGATCAAATGATAATGTTATTTTGTACTGCAGATGAGTTCTGTCAGCCACTTGGAGACATGAATGTGTGGGGAACATTGTATCCAATTAAGAAGAACAAAGAGGTTGTGATGCTAGCTACTAAGGTAATACAACAAACAATACAAAGTCCTAAATAATTAACACCCCCACCCCTCTGGAAATTCCAATTAAACTTCATAAATATCTTTGATTGTGATGGTCACTCCAAAAAATGTTTTATGTGGACGCTAATCAAAACCTCACACTAAGTTTGGCCACTCACCAAAGTTTCAGCCTCTAAAGTGAAGGTTTTCGTTATGAAATTCGTCTCCAAAGAAGCCCAAAATTTGACATTTTGAACAGTACTCAGCAGCCAGGCTGCGTTTTCGTGGTGTCAATCCGTCCACAAGATTTTGTCCAAATGGCTTCTGACAAGCCTTTTAACTACCACTGGTACAATATTTTTTGCTGGTTATATCCTCAGGACTGTTAGCTGCTAATTTTTCTCTCCTCCTCTGTTTGCAGCTGGATTCCAGTTCATTTTTTCATGATTTAGCTCCAGGAGTAGAGAATGATGGCACAGGGATAATAGTAGCACTAGCAGCAGCCAAAGCACTTGGTGCTGCGAAAAGAAATGTAGGTTACTTCAGATTTGCAGATCTGCTAGTAGGAAACTGCAAATGTTTCATTTTCTAAATCCAAAATTGTGAACCTTCCAGGAAAATGTCAATGGCAAAACTTGACAAGGCAGTCAGAGTGTGTTGAAGTGGATGCTTTTCAAATGCTTTCTTGATAGCCCCAAAATATATATTTAAATGGCTGCTGGCAGGTTTTTGATGCTGCCTGGAAAAATTCTAATGGCCAGGGTTACTCAAGGTCTTCATTAAAGAAATAGTAAATGGAGTGGCTGTGAGAATAATATTGCCCCACTGTTCCAAACTTCTTCATTTAGTTTTTTTTTTCTTAAGAGGTTCAGTTCAAAAAGATTTGAATGCTTGTGACAACTAATTGCCAACCTGCCGAAAACCTTATTGAAACCTTTGGTTAGCTGCAGTAGACTAGCATTTTTGTCTAGGAAGAAATACCATTACTTCTAGATGCTTCATTCTTCAGGAGCTAGAGTTAAAGGCATACAGTGCGAGTTGCTTATGCTTAACAAAAGCTTTGTTCTTTTCTTTCAGGGCTCAGTATCAGCACCCAAGGATCCCATCATGTTTACATTTTTTCAAGGGGTGAGCACATGTTAACTGAAAAACCTGGCGTTACTGATATGGAGAGGTGGCTGTTGTAGAGAAGTTAAAATAAGATTGAATGTATGGACCATGTGCTGGGGCAAAAAAAGGTGCCGTTGTAGAGAGGTGACCATTAATGGAGGCTTGTCTGCAGTACTGTACCTTGATTTTTATTTTTCATATTACTATGCTCAGGAAAGCTGGGATTACATTGGTTCATCACGAATGGTTTACGACATGGACAGTGGCACATTTCCCAGTGATCCATGGAAGGTAAAAAATAAATCAAATTACAGTGGACGCCTATTGATACGGTCACCAAAGGGCCATGAAAATCTGGCTTTATTAATGGGGTAGGGACAAACCAGATGGCGGGTCTAAATTTAGTGATATCTTAAAAGATACATCACAATTGCGCTTCTAAACAACTGTTGTTTAACAAACATCCGAAATGCAGATACAGTTTTAAATAAACGGCACGCAATGCATCCAGAAGCGATGACGTTTAAAATTTGTTCTTAGAAGATTGGAACATGAGCAGACAAACTGATTCTTAAACTTCTGGGTTAGAAAGTTTAGGGGTTTACATTTAGGGTAGTCCATTGGTGGTTCATTCAAGTAGTTCATGTACCAGGTCCATCTTGTTAGTCCATGTGCTAGGGGTCAGCGAAATGTACCAAGCCAAATAAAAAGCACTCCGCTGAAAAGTTCCTCTCTGTGAAATCAACACCTTATTATCTTTAAAGATATTTGGCAAAGCTAATTACGTCACCGGAAATTAATTTGTT